CTCACGGGTAAAAAGAAAAGTTCTAGGGGATCTTTCAGATCTTAAAAAGGGTACTTAGTTATACTTATATAATAAATGTGCTATACTCTGTTAAAGAATGAAACTGATGAGAGTTTTTTTTCAGATTTTTATCCTTTGATGAGAATACCAAACAAAATACGCTAAGAATTCTTTTTCTGCGTGTAATGGAAGAGTTTCAAAAAGTCAATTTACTGCAGAGGTTGTTGGTCTTAAAGATAGAGCTTGAATTTGATCTATACAAGTAAACATAGAAGTCTAAGATCAATTTTGGGTACAATTCAGTTAATGGCAATACTTCTAGACTGTATGATAACGTGGGTAGAGCGTACACTTTGTATATCATGCAGAATGTGTCAGGGTTTAGTTCGTTCGAACTTTTGGCTAAATGAATAATTCAGTCTTGTATGTCGATTTTATTCTAATCTTTGATTGCTCAAACTTTTCTTAGATAATTTCCTAAATATCAGGATACATTTTTTGGGGAAATAATTTGTCTAATAGATTTTCATGATGAACGAAAGCAGAGGCTTTTTGAGAATCAAACGAGCTGGGGATTAACTTAGATTTTCGATTCTTGGATATCTATTTAAGAATTGAACACTTCTTTTTGTAAATTTATTGGGATGTAAAAGCGTTGATCGAAGTACATTTTAAAAATGTGCGCACGGTCAACGCTTTTACAACCTTATAAAATTACTAAAAGAAGCATTCAATACTTATAATTACATTTTTTTGCTAGGATCATGAAAACACGATTTCTATCAAGTTTTTCTTTTATTTACCTGTGCACTTTATTGTGGAAGCTCGTGTCATCATGAATGTTAAATTTCATTTTGAAATGAAGGTTAATTTCAGAATGACGCGAGCTAATTGCTGTTAGCCAATCAAAATAACGTAATATAATGAAACTAACATGCAATGTAATTATATAAAAATAAGGAGATGAGGTATGATTGCCAACGAGACAACTATCCACCAAAGTTCAAATAAAGTGGGTGTGAGCAATTATATGCAACCGTACGTCCTTCAACAGGAGAAAAACTGAGAAAAACCCAGTCTGATTCTAAAAATAAGGAGACGATAACAACTATTAACCGAAGACAAAATGTACACAACTTCTACAATGAACAAAAATACAGTTAAGTATTAAAGATAGCTAAATACCAATTGAAAAGAGAAAACTAACCTTTTGATTAATGATAAAAAAAATGAAAGAAATAAAATAATACTTTTCAACCTGCATTGCCAGTAGGAGCCACAGTGTCTGATGACATTAAAGGGAAAATTTGGGCAAATGAATATATTAATTTTGATATTTTTTTACAAGAAGACGACATGGTTGACAAACCAATTCCACTCTAAGTGGAAAGAGATAATCAAAATCGTCCACGTTTAGTACTTAATGAAAATACTGGTAGCAAAAGAATTCGTACTATAGACCAGTGGGTTAGTGCTTTTTCTGCCTATATGATCATAAACTGTCAAAAGTACAAAGATGCCTTTGAGGTTCTTATAACCTATATGGAGACAGTGAGGGAAATAGCAAAAAAGTAATGGGCAATGGCTTAAGTATGATAAAAAATTAAGAAAAGCTAAATGTCAGCTCAGAGTATCTTGGGCTAACATGCATCAGGAACTGTGGCTTAAGGCAATGCAAAAAACTTCAGATGTTCAGAGTGAAGTTGGTTATCAATCTCAGAGGCGTTATAAAACTGCTAATGAACATATTCCACATGGTTATTGTGTACGTTTTCATACTGGTAATGTTGGTCAATTGCCTTGCAGATTTTTGCACAAGTGCTATATATGTAATAAACTCCATCCTGCTAGCAAATGCTGGCATACTGCTAATCAACAAACTACAAATTATTTCCAAGCCTATGTCCTAAAAAGGACCCAAACAAATTCAGACTTATTCACCACCTGTCTTTTCCTAAAGGCGATTCAGTCAATGATAGTATTGCGGAGGAATTTTGTTCCGTTCAGTATACAAAGATAATAGATGCAATTAGAGGGATAAAAGAATTCAAAAGTCCATGTTTTCTTGCAAAAACGGATATTTCTATGGCTTATCGAAATTTATCATTGAGACCTGAGGAATACTATTTGTTTGGATTTATGTGGAAAGGTCTCTATTATCACGACAAATGTCTCCCAATTGGAGTTTCATCAGCATGCCAAATATTTGAACGTTTCAGTACTGGGCTTCATTGGATAGGACAAAATTTTATGAATGAGGGTTTCATGTTTCACATTTTAGATGATTTTTTGATAGTTGCACAGTCGAGGGAACTATGTGAAAGTTATCTCAAACAATTTTTGGATGTTTGTGATAAAATAGGTGTACCTATGGCTCCTGACAAAACTGTAGGCCAAGCTCATTGCTTAACTTTTTTGGGAATTGAATTAGATACGGCTGAACAAGAAACACGTTTGCCATCATCTGATAAATTATCTAAATGTAGTGAGTTAATCCAAGATGTTTTAAGAAGGAAAAAAAGTGACATTACGAGAGATACAGTCACTTTGTGGTCTCCTTAACTTTGCCTGTCAGGTAGTCCTTCCTGGCAGGGCTTTTTTTAGGAGATTATATGAAATAACCAAGACTTTAAGAAAACCTCATCACACAGTTTAACTGACCAGGGGGTGTAAAGATGATTTATTGGTATGGCAAAGCTTTTTAGAACATTTTAATGGGAAATGTTTCTTCATCGATGAAAGGATGGTTTCAAATGATGTATTTCATTTGTACACTGATGCATCGGGTACTTATGGATATTGGGCAGTTTTTGGACAGTCTTGGTTTTATGGGGAACGGAATGAGCAATGGTTAAGTCAAAACATAATAGTGAAGGAGTTGTTTCCTATTGTGTTGGCAATTGAAGTTTGGAGGAAACAGATGGCATATAGATCTATTTGTTTTAATTGTGACAATGAGGCTTTAGTACATGTATTGAATAAGCAATCCAACACTGAAAAAAAATGTAATGTTTTTATTCGAAGACTGGTTTTGTTATCTTTACAATATAATGTTTTGTTTTCTGCCATTCATTTACCCGGCAAGTTGAATATCTTAAGTGACGCACTTTCCCGTTTACAGATTTCCAAGTTCCAGGAACTAATGCCGGATGCAGACCCAGAGCCTACACTCATACCTCACCTACCAATCTTACCAGTTTAAATAAAACAGTTGATGAGCTATTAAAATCATCATTGGCAAATTTAACAAGAAAACAGTATAATATGATATGGATAGATTTTAGACAGTTTTGTATTTCTCATTTAAGTATAACAGACTCTGTAATACCAATATCCATTCACACATTGTCACTATATTTGGCTTCATTATATGTAAAGGGTTATGCTCCCTCTACAATGTCAATATATAACTCAGCTATAAGTTATTGGCACAAAATTAATAATGTATCAGATCCCACTGCATCCTTTTCAATTTATAAGTTAATCCAAGGCTCTAAGAAAAAAGCGTTGCACTTTTGATGTTAGATTACCTATAAAAATCCCCATATTAGAGAGACTAGTTACAGGATTGAACATTATATGCACAAATCCATTTTACCAAACATTATTTAAAGCAATGTTCACTGTTGCATTTTTTTTGCATTTTTACGGGTCGGTGAAATGACTGAGAGATCTGTGAATACTAACAATCACTGTTTAAAGATGGATAACATTGAAATACAATCTGATAAATTTATAATATCTTTCAGTTCGTTCAAGCACTCAGTCCCAGGCAAGATTCATAAAATTCTTATTAATAGACAACAAAAAACATCTATTTGCCCAGTTAAACACTTGGTGGCATATTTGAACCACAGAAGTTCTCAACCTGGCATTGCCAATTTATTTTGTCATTAAATGGGTTACCAATATCTAGATCAGTTCATTGACATGCTAAATAGATCGCTGAATTTTATTGGATTGTCATCTAAATATTATAAAGGTCATTCTTTCAGAATTGGTGCTGCTAGTTGGGCATTGCAAAATGGCAAATCAGGTAGCCAAATTCGTAGCTTGGGCAGATGGAAGTCAAATGCCTTTCTATAGTACTTAAGACCAGATGTATCCTCAAATTAGACAAAATTGTAAACAGTAACCTAAGTCATTTGATTATACATTTACAAGTATTTATACTATGAATTTGTTAGATGAAGAGCAGGAGCAGTCACAGTCGTTGAGGTGCTAGTATTGAATTTTTGTAATTTAATGTATATACATGTATATACAAATGTCTTTTTTTAATTTTTGAAATGTATAAATATGTATACAAACTTATTATTAATTTTGCAATGTTGTATACAAATGTACTGTTACATTTTGCAATGTTGTATAACCATATATACAAATGTATTTTTATATGATACCTTTTTACACGTAACTTTCATTTGGTGACGAGCAGGAGCAGTCACAAAGAAACTGGACAATTTTAACGGGTTGTTGTGTTACATGTATTATATTTCCTAATTTTATTTAGTGTTATATTTGCAATATGGATTAAAATATATCTTTTCATGCAGCTGCGGGTGGGGGGAATTGCGACATGCACAATTATGTGGCAAATTTCTGGTCCCCACCTTCGCTTATCATTATAGTTGTTGTAAATAAATATGAAATTAAAGTAGAAATAAAATAGCGCCACAAATGGATGTTTGTTTTTTATTTAAAAGAGAAGCGAACAGGGCTTGCTGCATAGTTAGGTTAAGTGTACATAGTTGTTTCTATATTTTCATTGGAGGAGTATAAATACATTTATGCAAAAAACAATGAACGATAACCAATGAATTGCAGGTTCCTGGGTTCGGACAAGCACATTCGAATGAGGCGATTTTAAACATGTTTTTGAGCGCTAAACGACCCCTTAACATGGGACACAACATAAAGAATAAACTGTAATCAGTTGGACAGGGCTTCACTTATCAAAAAGTTACTAATCATAAAAACAACAAACAAAAAGACAAAGACAATTTTTAAGAGACATCTTTATTTTCTCACACATAGTTGCATCTTATAATAACAGCTTGAATTATTTTCACAGAAAGATCCAGTATAGGTAAAGATAATTCCTAAATATGAAAACTCATTTAAAAACACGTTATATCTCTTAATTCAGTGTAAATGATTGTTAATCAATCCCGGTTTTTTGTGTGGTTCATGTTGTTTTAAGTCTTTAGTTCTCTATGTTGTGGTTTTTATACTGTTGTATGTCATTTGGTCATTTATCGTTTTTTGCCATGGTATTGTCAGTTTGTAATCGAATTATGAGTTTGAATATCCATTTGGTATCTTCCGCCTTTCTTTTAATCAATAATTTACGTTTATCAAACATAACAATGTTTGTTTTTTGAGCAATATTTTTTTATCAAATTCCATGTTTTAAAAGTACTGAAAATTAACGTAATTCAATCTGTTTAAAATACACTTCCAAATAACCTCGACTTAATTAAAAAAAAAATCTTCATTGCCGACTCAGATTATTTTAGAATTAATTGTCAATGTAACTGAATAAAACATTCTATGCAGCTATTTCGAGTAGAAATAAATTGTGCATGTATTAAACAAGTATTACGACAATGGTAAAGAGGAACTTAGAATATCCGATTTCTCATGCATTCTCCCTTCATCCAGCAAATTTGCACACCATTGATCATTATATTTTTCTTTTATATTCTCTGGTTCCGCTAGGATGGTGTTTTCTCTGATGTTTGACTCTTGCAATGGTGACAATTGGCCACTAGACTGAATATTGTCGGGGACAACAGTATCTGAAAATTCATTCCCAAATCGTTGTTCAGACTGACCGCGATTATTTACATCATTGTCGTTAACTAATATGTTCTTTTCAATCTCAGAAGACTTCATAGATACATCCTTATCTAGCAATGAACTTTCAGTTTGTCCTTGTATTGTATAAATCATCGTTAACTTATCAACATTTGCGATGTTGAAAGATGTATCATTATTTGACATACTTCCAATGTTTGTTCTCTTTGAAATAGGGGGACTAGAAGTCTTGTTGTTGTTACAAGCGATCTGCGTGTTGTCTGTTATACTATCGTCTGGATTTAGAAAGTTCATATGTTGTACAATCGTATGTGTGTCATTAGGAAGTTCTGCTGGAAAAGGTGCGTTATTTACTTCCTCTTGCAAAGTTGTTTGCTGGAAGCCAGAACTGTCTAAAATAAACAGTAAAATTATTAATAAAACAACTAGCTTTTCTTTACAATGTATAAATGAGTAAAATCAGAAACACATTATTAAATAAATCAACCAATTAATCACCTGTACAGCAGTCCAATTTTATTCGGTATAGGATAACATTATTTTCATTTTTACTTCTTTTTGCAATAATGGAGCAATACTTCAGATTTATGATTTGATTTTTGGTCATATACAAAGGAGATATGACGAGCCGTGAAACTTTGTTATAACCCCCCGGTCCCGTTTCCTCAGAAAATACCTTTACAAAAAAGATCTCATCTAAGATACCAGGATTATAATTTTGCACGCCAGACGCAATTTCATCTACATAAGAAACAGTTGGAAGGTCCAATCAAATACGAATTTAAGAGCATTAAAAACCCGAACATACAAAAAAAATGTGCCAAATACAGCTAAGGTAATCTATTCCTGGTGTAGAAAAATCCTTAGAATTTTGAACAATTTAAAGTTTTGTAAACAGTTAATTTATAAATATGACAATATAATTGACAATTCATGTCAATGAAAAAGTGCTGACTACTGGGTTGGTGATACCATCGGGGAGGAAACCTCCATCCGCAATGGCATCGACAAAGACGTGGTTGTAAAAAACTCATCAAATATACAAGGCTTTTAAGTTTTATAATTTTTTATGCCAGACATGCGTTTCGTCTACAAAAGACTCATCAGTGACGCTCGAATCAAAACAGTTTGAAGGCCAAATCAAATACAAAGTTGAAGAACATAAGAAAACCCGAAAATTCCGAAAGGTTGTGCCAAATAAGGCTAAGGCAATCTACACCTGAGTTAGGAAGACCTTCGAATATTCAACATTTTATAAACAGTAAAGAAAGCTATACAAGTCCATGTGTTATTGCCGAAACGTGTGTTCCCAGTACCGCCAGTAATGTTGATACTTTTTTACGATAACTGCATTTCTTATTGCATATAAACAGTAAATTTTAATTTGATTGATCATTTAACATTCTGAAATAACTGTAACACTTTACTGAGAATTTAATTAAAATATATACCATCACTTTCATCCGTACGCTTTCGTACCAGAGCTAGAACACTGGTCAGACTAGCCTTTGTCAAGTAGTTTAAAAATCTTTTAATGGTAAGATTTGAACAATGTTGATGAAAAAATGTGTCTACTGGATCTTCCTCTTTCTCTGTATGATAAAATACAATATTGAAAATATTACTCAGCTTTTCGAGAAAAGGCAGATCATATATGTATTGATATATTACTCGTCATAAAAAGGTTAACAGTGGCAACTGACAAAATAGTATAGCTTCCTTCCAAATAAAACAGTTTAATGATTGACACGTTCTCTATATAATATTTTTAGACAACAATAATTAACCGATTTCAAATGTAATTGATCGATTAAAAGATACAAATCAAGGTAATAAACAAAAACTGAGGGAATGGCATGATTTTATAAAGGAGCGAGACCTAGTGGGTGCACAGGAATAGCGTCATATTCTATGTAGACATCACCCGCCATGCGAACACACACTCCGTCAAAATGACACGAACGGTAAAATTGCAGTATAGACGTAAATTCTGGTATATAAAGAAAAGATACCGCCAAATCATGTCTCTAATGAGTTGAAACACAGATGCATATAATCGTTTAACCAATGATTGATGGTGACCGTTAAATTATGTAGTGTCGAATTTTGTCATTCTTCCTGAAAACTATGTTGGAGCTGTTTTTGTGTAAGGAGCACACTTCCTGTTAATGAAGTCTGTAAAGTGTGAACATGCACGAGCGTTATGTATATACGTATTAATTGAAATATGTAGAAGCCACGGCATACAATGGGGCAGAGGGTGTTTTACTGCTGAGAAATGGGAAGTTGACAATAGAAAGTTAAAATCATGACTTTTGTCATAGATTCTAGTTTGAAGTCGTCCATTTGTGTCAATATTTAGGGAAAGATCGAACTATGAATAAGACCTTCTAGTTTCGGTAGTATCCTTAATCTCGAATTCACCGGGGTATATGAGCTCCAAGGATTAAGGGAAATGTCGGTTGTTGAGTGACAGGACACCATCGATATATCTGAAAGTGAAATGTAATAACTTTGCAAGATGATTTTTCTTTTTGTGTTTGAGAAGGTTCTGTATGAACTCTGATACATGTGAGTACAAAAAAAGTTGTCAAGTAGGGTTGCACAACTAGTATCCATTTGAAAACCGATTGTCATATAAATTGTGCAATTTAAGTTTGTCATGCTCGCGCTTCTGGTATAGTCCTCAACTGTATCTCTCAGTAACCTGCTGGGAGCAGCTTGATATTACCGCAAAGGTGGAAACCTGAACAGTTGGGGCAAGTATGGACACAAAATTCAAGCTTGATACAGCTCTGAATTTAGATATTGATTAAATATTTGACACAGCATAAGTTTCTGACACAGAATGAATGTGTATCATCATTTTTGTATTATTCAAAATTATCAATACATTGTGTGTTCTACAAGGATCACCAGTCCTTCACCTTTCATCTGATACCTTAATTACTAAAATATATGCTATATAGTTTAAGATTTACACCTGTGCGTAGGAACTATTTTGTTTTAAATATGTACTACTTTCCAGTATGTTCTTTTTCGACCGGGCCCGATTGGGTGGTGTTACATCTTACAAAGTCTATCCAAATTATTTTTGCAAAGAATTCCGCTTAAGCCTGTGCTAGGGGCCGTCTTAAACTTGCAGTTGTGAGAGTTTTTTTGCTCCGTGTTGAGGTCTCACTGTGACTTTGAGACGAAGAACAGCAATAAAAGCGCTGTTCCTTTGCTTTTTGTATGTTTTTTTGTTGTGCATTTACTGATTTTGTGTCATGGATGGATACCCCATATCCTTTGTTCTTCTATTAAGAAATTAAAAATTGGAAATTGGAAATTTACCTATTATGGTCCAATATCCAAAATCTAAATACATGGTTAGATTCGTCATTTCAAAGAACCCCAAGAATTAATTTTTTGATGAAATCAAACACCGTTTAATTTTGGACCGAGATTTGGACCAGCTTAAAAACTGGTCCCAAAATCAATAAACTGCTTCGCTGAGCGCAGCTGGATACGCCCGCAGAGGTCCAACCCTGAACAGTTGGGGCAAAAATGGACACAATATTCAAGCTTGATACAGGTCTGAATTTGGATTGTAATTAAATATTTGACATATTATAGGTTTCTGTAGTCAAAGAACTTGAAATTGGTTATATGAATTGAATTTATATTTAATTAATGATTTCTTGCTGTTGTGCAATACACTGTGCTGTTGCGCAATACTTAGTAAATCTGTTGTCAGACTATAAACAAATAAAGTTCAATTTCTTCTCAATGTCATATTTGAAATTTATGAAAATCAATAGAGAGATTACATCAATAGCTATAAATAATTCACCAAAGTTTCATGAGAACTGCTGAAAGCATTTTTGAGTTATTGTCCAAAAACTGTAAAATCCCCCCTTTTTTAATGAATAAAACCCCATAACTCAGAAATGTAAAATCTAAAATTTATAAAATTCTAAAGGGAGCTTACATCAACAGATATAAACAATTCACCAAAGTTTCATGAGAAATGCTGAAAGCAATTTTTTTAAGTTATTGTCCGAAAACTGGAAAATCCCTTTTTTTTAAGAATAAAACCCTGTAACTCGGAAACGTTAAATCTAAAATTTATAAAAATCCAAAAGGGAGCTCATGTCAATAGATATAAACAATTCACCAAAATTTCTTGCAAGTTGGTGAAAGCATTCTTGAGTTATTGTCGGAAAACTGGAAAATCCTCCCTTTTTTAATGAATAAAACCCCAAAACTCGGAAACGGTAAATCTGGAATTTATAAAAAAACGGAAGGGAGCTCACGTCAATAGATATAAACAATTCACCAAAGTTTCATGCATATTGGTTAAAGCTTTTTTGAGTTAATGTCTGACATGTTGACGACGGACGGGCGGACAGACGGACAGACGGACGGACGGACGGACAGGCGGTCAACGGTATACCATAATACGTCCCGTAAACGGGCGTATACAAATCTAAATACATGAGTAGATTCAGCAAATCAGAGAACCCCAATAATTCATTTTTTGTTAAAATCAAACTAAAGTTTAATTTTTGATCCTGTGGACCTTAATGTGGACCAATTTGAAAACCGGGCCCAAATTCAAAAATCTAAATACACTGTTATATTCAACATATTAAAGAACCCCAAGAATTCAAGACTTTGAATTAAACCCCTCTGAAATTGGTCAAGAAATAAGCAATTTATACAAAGTATTAGAAAAGCATTGTTTTGGCCCCTAATTCCTACACGGTTAGGGCCACCCCAAAATCAATCCCAAGCTTCCTTTTATGTTTTTGCATCTTGTGTTACAATTTCATAAAGATTCATTCACTTAAACTCCAAGTTATTGTCCAGAAACTAGAAAATCCTGGGGTTTTTTTTTGGCCCCTTTTTGCCACTAATTCCTAAACGGCCAGGGCCATAGCCGCCAAAATCAATCCCAACCTTCCTTTTGAAGTATGGGACGTTAAGGTACTATTTCATAGAGATCCAAACACTTATACACAAGTTGTTGTCCTGAAACAAGAAAAATGCTTGATTTGGCTCCTTTTTTACCCCTAATTCCTAAATAGTTAAGACAATAACCCCCCAAATCATTCCCAACCTTCCTTTTGTGGTATGAAACTTTGTGGTAAAATTTCATAGAGATCCAGTCACTTATTCTCAAGTTATTGTCTGGAAACCAAATGTCTTCGGACGACGACGACGACGACGACATCACCATACCACTATACGGTCGTAAATTTTTGCGGTCGTATAAAAACTGCATTTCTTAGTTACCTGGTTCAAAGATACCGAAGGGACAATCAAACTCAAAAACAAACTGACAATGCCATGGCAAAAAAAGAAAAAGACCAAAAGACAAACAACAGTAAGAACACGAACCCCATGTAAAAGTGTAATAGTGTAATGTTGAGGGCCACAGACTTATTAAGTCCATTTATCAGTAAAATATGGATACAAAACTTTTTTTCCTATAAGATGCTAGATCTTGTAGAAGCTTCTGTCCAAGTTTCATAACATTCCATAACGAAAATAAATGGGGATTATGTCCATGGGACACAGATGATGCCCCCGCTTGCATATCATATAAAGTTATAAAGGGACATAACTGAAGAACGATAAAAGTGACGCTACCCAAATTTGTACTTGATCTGAGTTTGTGGTAATAAGTATTGTGTATAAGTTTCATAAAATTTGGTTGAGGCAAACTTTAGTTAGAGAACGGAAACGAAAAATTCAGCAATTTTTTCCATTTGTAAAGGGGCATAACTCTAGAACGGTTAAAATGACACCACCAAATTTCGTACTTAATCTATATTATGTAGTAATAAACATTGTGTATAAGTTTCATAACATTTGGTTGAGGCAAACTAAAGATAGAGAACAGAAACCAACTTTGGGACGTACGTACGTACAGACGGACAAGGGTAAAACTTAATGCCCCCTCCGCTACGGCGGGGGCATAAAATACAATTTATCGGTAAAATTAGAAAACACAAAAAGGGATTTTTTTTTTAATTTTGCTACAGACATTTCTTAATCATAAAAATGATTCTGCCAAAGGTTTATTAAAATTCCATGAAGGTTTGACAAAGTCATTGATGTCTTTAAAAACAATAACTCCAGACTGAATCTTATTGTTATTAAAATTAGAATAAACCATGTCAATTTTTCAGTGAAATAAGGAAAAATGAAGGAACAAAATTCAAATGCTATGGATACTGTCTTTTGATCATTAAAAAAACTTCTGTCCAAGTTTCTAATTTTTTTACTTTATTTACCTTACTTACAAAAAGAGTTCTATTGTTCTCGAGTCGAATCACCGTTAATGGACTCTCCCCTGTAAATTAATGTAAATGCATGGTATGTAGAAAATTATATTGTAACCGTATGATATTGAATTATAACAATAGTTCTACATTAAACTTGTACTGACCTAAAGCTTTTACAGTCTGGTAGTTAAGCTTCATCTTCGTGGCCAACTTTTTCCACTGTTTGTTTTCACTCAATTCTTCCACCCATAGCATGACATCTTCATAAGCTATCTGGCTCAGTTTTGTATCTGTAATTGCAAATTCTCATTTCAGTAATACATAAGCCTCAAATGCACTTCAATAGAAGGTTTAACAAGTATACATTATACACAACGATTGCGGATGAAGTAGTTTGCATGGCAGTTATATACATATAAATGCTAGAAACCCATAATTTGCTGGAATCCGCTGTATTTTGTGAAAGGGCCATACCAAAAGTGTAATAATCGACATACTTTGTAAACTGTATGACATATGCAAATTGTTTTCAAAATGGAAAGAAAAAGAAAAATGCCTTGATTTATAACTCAGAAACCATATGAGCTAATAATAATAATAATGAGCTTTCACAAATTATACTACCAATAGGTAGGATTTTCATAAGTATTTAAAGAAAAAATAAATGTGGATATTGTCCACATGTGGACACAGATGATGCCCCCGCTTGGATATCATATAGTTATAAAGGGACACAACTGAAGAACGGTAAAAGTGACGCTACTCAAATTTGAACTTGATTAGAGTTTTGTGGTAATAACCATTGTGTGTAAGTCTCATAACTTTGGTTGAGGCTAACTTAAGTAGAGAACAAAAACTAAAAATTCAGCAATTTTTCTATTTGTAAACTCGCATAACTCTAGAACGGTTGTGTATAAGTTTTATAACATTTGGTTGAGACAAACTAAAGTTAGAGAACGGAAACGAAAAAATCAGCAATTTTTATGTTTATAAAGGGACATAACTCAAGAATGGTAAAAGTGTCGCCACCAAATTTCGTACTTAATCTGCATTATGTAGTAATAAGCATTGTGTATAAGTTTCATAACATTTGGTTGAGGCAAACTAAAGTTAGAAAACGGAAACAAAAAAAATGTACTTGATCTTAGTTTTGTGGTAATGAATATTGTGTATAGGTTTCATAATGTTTGGTTGGGGCAAATTTAAGTTACAGAATGGAAACTAAAAATTTTGCAATCTTTCGATTTATAAAGGGGCATAACTCAATAATGGTTAAAGTGACACTACCCAAATTCAACTTGATTTGTGTTTTATCAGTGGAAGTCAAAATTAAACATTGCATTGTATAAAGCATCGATTGTAGTTGATTTAACTATAATCATGGACAAAGGAAGATAACTCCAATTTTAAAAATTACTTGATATTTAGAAGAAAATAAAAATTTAGCAATTTTTCCATTTATAAAGGGACATAACTCTAGAACGGTTAAAATGACACCACCAAAATTCAAACTTGATCTGTGTTTTGTGGTAATAAGCATTGTGTATAAGTTTCATAACATTTGGTTGAGGCAAACTCAAATTAGAGAACAGAAACCAATTTTGGGACGTACGGACGTACGTACGTACAGACGGACAAGGGTAAAACTTAATACCCCCACCGCTACGGCGGGGGCATAAAAAGGACTCTAAATAAAATACTTGGAATTTTGGTGTTCGTTCAATTAACCCGTTAGTTCATTGGTCTTCGTAGATAAACTGCTGACCATTTTTGGCATAAATTAATATTTAAGACTATTGGATATTTATATCATCTTCTAATTGAGAACCGCCAAACCAGCTTAAACCGAATAAAACAGAAAGGTTCCTCGTGTAGTTTCTTGATTTGCCAAACAAGTAGTTTCTTATTACAGGCTGTTTCTTAATTGCCAATCGGAAAGCATGCATTAGATGACTAATGGCAAAGGGTAGCCACTGAATCTATAGAAACCATGTTAGGTACTTTTTTAAATTTTGTGCCAATCAATGAATTAATTTAGTCTCCAGCGTGACTTCGTTGTTTTCCCACTGGAAAAACGGGAACCTGTTCAATGGCTCTTTTTGAAAATCGTTCAGCCAATTGAAAACAGAATATGACAAAAGGGTTTTGTGTGTGGTACACGCCGAGTTTTGTTACTTCGTTGTCCATCGATCAATTACTTTTGCCGACAGTGGGGGGTTTTAATTATTTTTTAACTTCCCAAGTCTTTAGGAAATGAGAAGAAAAAGCCTTCTTGGAAACTGCTTAATCAGCTGAAACCATTTATGACACATTTATTATTCATATTACAAAAAAAATCCTCATCTTATATTACTTTGGAACTGATTTGCCAAACAATTAAGCGGACAGAGAAATATCAATTTGTGGACTACTCAGCCAACTGGAAACCAAAAATGACTGGAACGAAGCTAACTTGTGTTTTGGCGTCGACATTGATTTGCAAATCAACATGGAACTTTTGAAAAGAACATGGAGTAAGTGTGCGAACTACACATGTAGTATGTAGGAAAAATGCTTATTTTGAGAATTGCTTATCCAAAAAAATATGACTGGGCTGTTCCTTGTATTTTATTGACTTTAAATAAGATGATTCCTCATCAGATAAGGTTGCCAAGCTATTTATACAGGATGTTAGCCTAAACTTATTTCCTTATTTGATTTTGACCCAAATGAATTTTCGTCACCAGTATATGAAAATCGTATATGATGATGCTAGCCGAAGTATTTATAGAACACGATTATCTACTGCTATATAAACAAGCATTCTGAGAGTATTGCATGGCATTACATAGTCCCCTATCGGTTAAAAATTAATTGTACTGGAACAAAATGCTAACTTGATCTATAACTTGTCATGGTGTAAACTATATATAAAATATCAAGTCAATATCTTCAAGCATGACGAAAAAAAGTGCGGAAAACTGATAATTTGAGTGAATTTTTTAAGATCAAGGACCATAACTCTGCAAAAAATCATCAAACCGAAACAAATTTCAAACTTGGTCTGTAACTTGTCATGATAAAACTATATACCAATTATCAAATCAATATCTTCAAGAATAACGAAAAAAAGTGCGGAAAACTGATTATTGGAGTGATTTTTTTAAGTCCAAGGACCATAACTCTGCACAAAATTATCAGACCGGAACAAAATTCGAACTTGATCTGTAACTTGTCATGATAAAACAATATACTAAATATCAAATCAATATCTTCAAGCATGGAGAAAAAAAGTGTGGAAAACTGATTTGCCGGACTGACAGAAGGACAGACAGACGGACAGACTGACAGACGGACAGACAGACAGACAGACAGACAGACAGACAGACGGACAGACAGACAGACAGACAGACAGACAGACAGACAGACGGACGGAGAGCAAACCTAAAGTCCCCTTCGACTTCGTCGGTAGGGAACTAATAATCGTACCAAGTGTTAAAACACTAGATTCGTTCTCAGAATCACTTTCTTCTGTGTCTTGGCTACCTGTGGCCTCATTTTCTGCATGTCGTATGTTGTTCTGATCATTCCTAGAATTTGGCGTAGTCTGAAAGTTAAGATAAAAGAACGGTAAATAGGTGTCCTTATGTATAAAAAAGGGTATCATCAGTTCTTCTTTTTAAGATGAACATTTTATTTCTTTAAATATAGACTTTACTTTATCGTGGACTTATACATTAGTCCTTTACCTAGTAAAACTTTGTTGCAACATTATTTGTTATATGATGAATGCTATCCAAAACACAGTGTTCCTTTTTATATTAACCTCATATGCCAGATAACAAAAATATTATTTATACAATACACGTTTACTGAAGGAAAATATAAAAAAAATCATAAGGGGTTCCGCGGATCCCTGTGTCTCGCCTGCGATTGCTGCTGTCAGTGTAAAAGTGTAATGTTGACTTAAAAAGTGAGTCCATTTATCAGTAAAATACAGAATTTAAAAAATTTCAAACTTTTTCTTTAGATGCTTTTTTTTGGTCTTGAAGATGAGCTTCTGTACAAGTTTCATAAAAATCCATGAAGGTTTACAAATTTATCATGTAATTTTTTTTTATTCCAAAATGTCTTTAAATGTTAAATGTAAAATATGAAGTCCATCTATCAGAAAAAATACTAACAAGAGGCTGTCAGAATGACAGCAAACCGGATTTCCTGCAGAGGTCGAACCCTGAACAGTTGAGCAAGTATGGACACAACATTTAAGCTTAAAACAGCTCTGAATTTGGATTGTGATTTAATATTTGACACAACATAGGTTTTTGACACAAAATAAATGTGGTCAAAGAACTGAAAAATTTGAAATTGGACATTTACCTATTATGGTCAAATATCCAAAATCTTAGTACATTGTTATAATCAGCATATCAAAGAACGCCAAGAATTCAATTTTTGATGAAATCAAACAAAAGTTTAATTTAGGACCCTTTGGACCTCAATGTGGACCAATTTGATAAAGGAGCCCAAAATCCAAAATCTCTTAATACATGGTTAGATTCAGCATTTCAAAAAACCTACCGTGCGAGGGCTGTATAGCCAGTCAAGGTCGTTAAAAACTCCAATCATCATTTAAAAAAAAACCATGAATTCAATTTCTGTTGAAATCAAACAAAGTTTAATTTTGGACCCTGATTTTGACCAACTTAAAAACTGGGCCCAAAAATCCAATATTTAAATACAGGTTTAGATTTAGCATTTGAAAGAACCCTATATATATTTAATTTATGTTGAAATGAAACACAGTTTAATGTTATCCATATACTTATTAATTTTCTGTTGAAAGGGAAATAACTCAAACTGAATAAATGATAAACAAATAGTTCTCTAAAATTAGATATGATTTAACCACTAAAAAATAGTTCTCTAAAATTAGATATGAAGTTATATATTTTCAAATTATAATCAATAAATTGCTTCGCCGAGCGCAGCTGGATACGACCGCAGAGGTCCAACCCTGAACAGTTGGGGCAAAAATGGACACAATATTCAAGCTTGATACAGGTCTAAATTTGGATTGTAATTAAATATTTGACACATAATAGGTTTCTGACACAGAATAACTGTAGTCAAAGAACTTAGAATTGGTTGGTTATATGATTTGAATTTATATTCAATTTTTTGCTTTCGTGCAATACACTATGCCGTTGCGAATTGACCCCCCCCCCCCTCCCCCCAACAAAAAAAAAATTACCCCATTTTTTTTATGCGTTTGTGCAATACACTATGCTGTTGCGAATTGACCCCCCCCCCCCCCAAATTTTGTTTTACCCTCCCCCCTTTTTTTTGCAAAAAAAAAAAAAATATTTGAAGAAATTTTCTTTTTAATTTCTGAAATTTGAAATGAGAAAAAATTGTCCCCCCACAATTTCTTTTTTACCCCCCCCCCCCCCACAATTTTTTTTTCACCTCCCCCTTTTTCAAAAAAAAAATCTTTCCCTCAAGATTTGGTCATAATCTCAATTCAAATTTCCAATGGAGTTTGCAACCATAATTACCCATTTAAATACATCATAAAAGTCTTAAAATAGAACATGACATACATAATCATGGCTAAAATTAATAATATTCCTTAATCAGTATTTTTAATAGTAACTTCTTAAAATAAATTGACAGCTAATCACCTCAAGACAATACAACATTTCTTTATACATAATTTAAAAGCAGTGTAAGCGAGGTAATCCAAACATAACGTTGTACTTTTAAGTAATTGTTTATTAACCAAGAAACCCTTGTTTTTCCCCCTTTTTTGCCCCTTATTCCTAAACGGTTTGAGCCATAACCCCCCACCCCCACCAAAGCCAATTCTTACCATCCCTTTGTGGTATGGAAACTTGTGGTATAATTTCAGAGAGATCCATACACCATTCCACAAGTTATTGTCTGGAAACTAGAAAAATGCTTATTTGGGCCCCTTTTTGGCCCCTAATTCCTAAACTGTTAGGACTGTAACCCCCAAAATCAACCCAAACCTTCGTTTTGTGGTTATAAACCTTGTGTTTAAATTTCATAGATTTCTATTTACATTGACCTGAAGTTATTGTCCGGAAACCAAATGTCTTCGGACGACGCTGAGACGACGACGACGACGACGACGTGATACCAATATACGACCGCAAAAATTAATTTTTGCGGTCGTATAAAAAACCAGTAGAAGTTTAATTTCCAATTATACGTCAGTTTTATCAGACGTCAGTATACAAAATAATGCTCCTTCAACATAAGACTGTGAAACATCGAAGTTTAGATATGATCCCTATGGCCATGTAATTATAGGGGACCTCAACGTCGTTCAAGACCGAGAGGTTATAAACTTTCTGACCAAAATATCGTCCACCGTTGAAAATAAATTGGGAAGAGTGTCGTCAGGTTATTAAAGATGTTCTTTTATCCTATTGTAAACAAGAGGCTGTCAGAGTGACAGCAAACCGGATTTTCCTGCAGAGGTCGAACCCTGAACAGTTGAGCAAGTATGGACACTACATTTAAGCTTAAAACAGCTCTGAATTTTTATTGTGATTTAATATTTGACACAGCATAGGTTTGTGACACAAAATAAATGTGGTCAAAGAACTGAAATATTTGAAATTAGACATTTACCTATTATGGTCCAATATCCAAAATCTAAGTACATATTAGAATCAGCATATCAAAGAAACCCAAGAATTCAATTTTTGATGAAATCAGACCAAATTTTTATTTAGGACCCTTTGGACCTAAATGTGGACCAATTTGATAAAGGAGCCCATAATCCAAAATCTCTTAATACATGGTTAGATTCAGCATTTCAAAGAACCTCATAAATTCAATTTTTGTTGAATCAAACAAAGTTTAATTTTGGACCCTGATTTGGACCAACTTGAAAACTGGGCTCAAAAATCTAATATTTAAATACAGGTTTAGATTAAGCATTTGAAAGAACCCTATATATATTTAATTTATGTCGAAATGAAACACAGGTTAATATTATCCATAATTTTTTCTGTGCAAAGGGAAATAACTCAAACTGGATAAAATTTTTCTAAAATAAGATATGATACAATTTTTCAAATTATAATCAATAATATAATAACAACAACCAGTTATGACTAAGTTCTCTAAAATTAGATATGATTTTACACTCAAACATTGTTAGAATCAGCATATCAAAGAACCAAAGAATTCAATTTTGATGAAATTAAACAAAATTTTAATTTAGGACCCTTTGGACCTCAATAGGGTATTAACTTATTAATAATGAAAAGAAATACAGGTTTAGATTTAGCATTTTAAAGAACCCTATATTTATTCAATCTATGTTGAAATCAAACACAGTTAATTCTGGACCCCGATTTGGAGCAACTTGAAAACTGGGCCCAAAATCAGAAATCTAAATATATGTTTATTAATAAACACTATGTCAAGCTTAGTTTTTAAAGGAGTTCACTTCATCAAAAAAAAAATATAGCATTCAGAAAATTAGTTTTTACAGAATAACAAACAAACTTACCACAAAATTCTTCAAACAATTTACCAAAGAAAAGAAGAAAAGAATCCAAAATCTTATTTATCATTAATACAATGTCTTTTCAAAATCTATAAAACTTATCAGTAACAAGAAATAATTGTAACAGGATGCTGTTACGAAGTCTCCCAAACAAAGCTCCAATAGTTCGTCATTCCCATGGTCGCCTGACATTGGGCAAAGACCAGTACAAACTGGTTTGTAATATGCATAAGTGACGCCTATGGATTGACCCTGTATGTCATGCAAATCTTCTTGAAATGACGAACAGTAATATATATGGTTGTTTAGGGGTTGAGATCTCGACCGTTTACAAGTTCTCAAAAAAAAGGGGGGGGAGGTTGATCCCCAGGGGACTCGCCCTTTATTTCATATGATTTGTTTTTTTGTCCCATAAAAGAATATATATGGTTTAGGGGTGGGGATCTCGACCGTTTACAAGTTCTTAAACAGGAGGGGGTGGGGTGACCCCAGGGGACTCGCCTTTTATTTCATATGATTTGTTTTATTGTCCATAGAAGAATATATATGGTTTCGGGGTGGGGATCTTGACCGTTTACAAGTTTTCAAAAAGAAGGGGATGGGGTTACCCCAGGGGACTTCTCCTAAATTTCATTTGATTTGTTTTATTGTCCCATAGGAGAATATATATGGTTTGGGGCTGGGGATCATATTCTCCCATACAAGAATATATATGGTTAAGGGGTGGGGATCTCGACCGTTTACAAGTTATCAAACAGGAGGGGGTGGGGGTGTTCCTAGGGGACTCGCCTTTTATTCATTTGATTTGTTTTATTGTCCCATACAAGAATATATATGGTTTCAGGGTGGGGATCTTGACCGTTTACAAGTTTTCAAAAAGAAGGGGGGTTGGGTGAACCCGGGGACTCCACCAATATTTCATTTGATTTGTTTTATTGTCCCATACAAGAATATATATGGTTTCGGGGTGGGGATCTTGACCGTTTACAAGTTTTCAAAAAGAAGAGGGTGGGTTTACCCAAGGGGACTTCTCCTAAATTTCATTTGATTTGTTTTATTGT